TGTCCTGCTGATTGTATTTGGACTTAAATGAAAGTTAACAGAACAGTAGTGTCATTTGCTTTAACTTGAACACTTTAATTAGGCCCGAGCACCGACAACGTCGGGCCGCGAGGTCCCTATTGAAACTGTAGGAATTAGTATTATTATTATTATTATCAGCTTGTTGTTTAAGGCCTGCAGACTCACAAGTGAATCCCTTTGCAGTTTAAGTGAATGGGGACGATATTGTTGATTGTCATAGTCATCAACCAATCAGATCTTTAGTTTGACATGTTGGGCGTATTCTTTGATGTGCCAGAGTCTGCTAGCTGGCCTAGCCATACGTGATTGGTCAGTGGGCAAGCATGACATGTTGGGCGGTGACAATCCCAAAATCTGCTGCCTCTGTCAAGTGGACATTTTCAGCCTCAATCGCATTAAAACGTATTCAAGAAATACAACTGGGGAGGCTCGACTGTCTTCACTGGCGTCCATGAATCGAGAAGGACTTCTTACTGGAACTAAAACGCACGGATGTAATGAACAACCGTGGGATTAAACTCTTTATTAACAAAGAAAGGAGGATGCACACTGTCTTTAAATAGTGAACAGCAGCTCTGGTAAGTTAAATGCGTTTGTTTTTACATCTGCAGTAGCTTTAATATGCTTGTTTATATATTATTATTTGTACAATTTATGGAGATGGATTTTTGTTTGGTTTTATGTGTGATAGGAACCATTGTTACGTCCAATATTGCTCTGGGGACATATTTAACCGGTGCCAGTGTTGCCAACTTGGCGACTTTCTCGCTAAATCTGGCGACTTTCCAAACCCTCATGGCGACTTTTTTTGTCAAAAGCTACTAGCGACAAATCTAGCGACTTTTTCTGGTGTTGTTGTAGAGTTTTCTGTTGCACTGTCGTGAACGAGCAGCGGGTGCTGCCGTGAGCTCCTCCGCCGCCCCAAAGCACACACAGGCGGGTACTCTTACAGAATCCTCGCGCTGCAGTCAGAGCAGAGAGGAGATGCACTCTATCTATAGGTGTTGGCTTCATTTTTACACAAAACAAATCATAACCGTAGCTGTGTTTCAGCTGCAGGACAGCAGTGAAGGCCCAGGTATAAAATGCACGGCCCACCACTGACATACATATATATTAGTGCTGGGCAACGATTAAAATATTTAATCGTGATTAATCTCATGGATTTTTTGCGATTAATCGCGATTAATCGCAAAAAATCCATGCGATTAATCACGATTAATCGCATTGTTATGGCAAAGTTCAATAATGAATTCAAAAGTAGTGTATTACGCACTTTTATTTTAAAAGTACTGCTATACGAACAAAAGGGCAATAACATTTGGTTCACGAGATGCAGGTAGCATGTTTTATACTTAATGTGAATATAATTCATACTTTGTTGGCATCTTATTCTGAAAACCGGATGTTCGTCTGAAGAAACCGGATGTTGTCTCACGTTAATGTTTCCGCTAACTTTCAAAGTCCTTCGCTCGCTCCCGATCTGTGCCGTTTAAATGCGTTTACCGTGAATTTCAGCATATAGGTGCACTAAAATGACTGACTATAGGATGTTTGCTGGCTTTTATCTCACTGTTCTTGTCATCCTCTTGTTGTTATGTCTATGTATTGTCTCTTGTCTTTCAATAAAAATAAATAAAAAAATTATAATAAATTTAAAAATAATTGTCGGCGTTAATTAATGAATGCGTTAACGCGAAATTAACGCGTGAACTTGCCCAGCACTAATATATATATACATACACACACACACACACATGAAGCAGCCCCCGTCACTGACCTTCCAGTCCCAGCTCTTTTAGTGCCCTGAATCCTCCAGGCTGCAGCAGCTCCCCCACTATCCTGTCAGGCTCCTTCATATCCCTCTCCACCACCGTCACCCTCCTCCCGTCCTGGGCTAGGACGGCCGCCAGGGCAGAGCCCAGGACCCCTGCCCCAACTATCACCACGTCTGGCTCCGGGGCCACCGCGAGTCCCCTGGCTGAGGCATTGGGTGAGGCGGAGGACTCTGTATCTACTCTTTTCCTTGTTCTCCGGCTCTGGAAACAACCGAGTGGAGAGTCTCGTTACATACAGGGTAAAGTCCAAACTGAACTGTACTGTGAGGCAAACATTGGAAAATTAAAATTTGTTATACTTCATCCAATAACCTGCCACTCTCTCTCATTTCAGTTGTGGTCTTTAGATATACAAATATATATAAACTTTAAAGCACTTTACTTCAGAAATGCTAGAATGAAATTTGAGAATATGAAGTCATGAGTTTTTTTTCCAGGGATTAAGAACACAAATTTAACATAAATTACTTCAGTTAAATGAAGAAAAAAACGATCCTTAGTCCCCTTTTGTATCTGTCTTTGTCTTCCTTTGTTCACAGTATATATACATAACATGTAGCCAAACGAGTTTTCTTACCTGTGTACAGCTGTTCTCCGCCTTCTCGCTCCTCTGTGTTGAAGTTTGGGGGATTAAATTGTTGATAACAGGTAAAAAGGACAAGAGGCTCAGAGGCAAATGTAACATCTGAGAGACTGTGAGCTTCTGCATATGAAAGTACCTGACATACGATAGCAGCAGGCCGACTGTCAGAAATAAGGCTGCGGCCATTAGAAGCTCTTTGTGAGCGTAACTCAAGACTGTGTTGGATTTTTTGTAAAGGTATGTGAAGCTGGCTATTCCCAGGAAGGTCCACATCTTTCTGGATTTAAAAATAATTATAAGATGTTGAAAGCACTAGTACTGAGAAACCGGTTTTCTTTTTATGCTGACAGAAAATTACCACGCAATTAATAATTACTCTTCATATTGTTTCTCTGGTGCTCCAAAAAACCAAGTCAGCCTCCCCAAAACAAAAGGTTACCCTTGTAACTCATGATAAGTTGCTCACAGACGGTGGTCTGTGAACGGTTGCTCACAGATGGATGCTGCTGAATTTTTTATGATAATGAGAAACGCGCACTACTTCGGATTCGGTGGTTTCACGTCCCGCCTCCCTCACAGCTCAACCCTCCAATCAGAAGCGACGTGCCGGTGAGCAGACCTCACGCTATCCGCCCATTGGACAGCCGCGCCGGCTCCGGGCCGCCCCTCGGCCGCTGATTGGACAGTCTGCTGGCAGGACGGTAGTATGATGTGATGTCAGTGGAAAGGTGCGTGTTGCATTTATCTCACAGACCCAGAGGCTGAATGAGAGGGGACCTGCTGCAAAGATCGTTCATGTTTGACAAGATGAACCACTCTGGTCCATGTTGAGTGTGTCTGTTAAATAGCTGCTTTAGGGCTCAGCTACAGATAGCAAGATGACACCGTGGCAGCCAAAGTTGTGAGTAGCGAGAGAGAAAAAGGCGCAATATATAGATAGCTCGCAAAAATCTACATTTTAGGGTCCTTACATGTGTGCAGTGTACAAAACATCCAGTTTTTGTAACATCTGTCACATCTGTCCATGGGTAAATTATGGCTGGTACATCTAGGTCACTGGAGATGTCAATGATATCTATAAAAAGGTGCAGAGTGAGAGCTCTGTTCTATGCTTATTGGTAAATAAAGCTTTTATTTGGAAAGGCTCTGACTAAATGTAGCCTATAAGGATATAAATGACAAAATACTGCAGCATGTTGTGGAAAGTACAACACAAAATGATTTACCGTACCAAAAATACCAACTGGATGTAGCATATCAATAAACTGTCAGAGCTGTGGTGAAAGCAATGCAGTAATTGTCTTTCTGCCCAGAATTAAAACCCTAGTTGAAGTCAGTTTAACCTAATTAAAAAGAAAATAATCAAATTAAATAAGAAGTTATAGCAAAATGTATTATTTTGGCATGACAACACCTGAACTAACTATCAAAAGGGACCATTACACATACAGGATCCTCAGAAATGCAGCGATGAAACATATAATTATGGTATAAACTCCTTAAAACAATAATATGTTAACAGTAAACAGAATCAACTGGAGAGGATCATTTACAGAATTAGAAATCATGTATTCAAATAGACAATAAAAAAGCCATCGAATGACTGGTTAGATTATGATGCTCAAAATGACTTCATAGAGGGGTACATTGGGCAGATATAGTTTTAATCAAATAAGAAACAAACACACACAGTTGATCGGGCACATAGCAGGTAAAATATTGCAGTGTCATAATGTAAATGAGATAATTTCTCTAACATCCAGAAATCATAATTACAGTCTAGTTTCCAAATATAAACAAAGATATAAGACATACCCAACTCATATTATTGGAAACAATCATGTAAATGTCCTGCCAGAATACTAAAGTGCAGATTTTTATTTGGCCACAGTTGTGATTATTTGGTTATAAGAAATACTAAAGTTTCACAAAGACATAACTTTATCCAGTAAAGATTGTATTATGTGTATTTGCACGTCGTGACTGTTTGATCCAGATGAAAACAGCTGTAGACTAGAAACTGTCCTAATTGAATTTACAGCAACTATAGATGCTCATGTCTGTTGGATATACCGGCTCATTGTAAAAAATAAAATAAAAGCGAAATGAGGATAAACTAGCAAAAAGTCCATTAAACAAAAATGATATTTTAGATTTTTTTGGGGGAGATCAGGAGCAAAAGCACTAATACAGCGCGGGAAAATGACATCTTGGCGGCACATCTGGAATAACCACACAGGGTAGAGTTTAGCCTATAATAAATTCTAACACCAGAGAATAAAATACCTTAATCTAGAAAAGGATAGCTTTTCTTCATTTGAGTGGGAATGTTCTTTCTAGTCCTTTTTGTTATTTATATAAGAGGGCCATTAAGTCATAGAAAAGCCATAGTATATGTCCTAAAAAGAGTCATAATAGTATATCAAAAAAGTCATAGTATTGTATGTTGTAAAAAGTCTTAGTATAGTATGACATTGAATGTCTAAGAAAAGCCATAGTATAGTATGCCAGACGTTCATAGTTTTGGCGAAAAAAGACAGTATATGTCAAAAGACATCCTGAAAAATATAGAGGTAATATATGTTTCTTTAAAAAGTCTATAGTATGTAAACAAAAAAGTATTTAAAACGATATAATTTAACGAAAATCATAGCATATGTTGAAAAAAGTTTTTTAAGTCTTTGTACAGTGTGTCTGAAAAAAGTCTTATAAAGGCCACAGTGTAGAATGTCAATAGTGTCATAGTATGGTATGTCCAAAAAAGTAACTGTTTAGTATGTCCAAAAATAGTACAAAAATTTCAGTCTAGTTTGTAGAAAAAAAGTCCTAGTATGTCAAAAAGTCCTCGTATTATATGTCATAAAATGTACCAAAGAAGTCCTAGTAAAGTATGTCCAACAAAGTCTTAAAAAAGTCTTCATATGCGTGTTAAAATGTGCTGTACAAATACATTTTGATCTGATTTTTTATAAAAAGATGCATTAAAAAACAACTAGGCTATAGTATAGTATGCCCCAAAAACTCAATGGACAGTATCTCAAAAAGGTGTTTTTAAAAAGTCATAATAAAGTATGTCGAACATTTGTTTTTGTAGAGATTGTAGTAAATTCTTATATCGTGCTTCTCTTCTTTTCTCCTCAGATAATATTAGATGAGTTTTCCGGACCAAAACTGAAGATGAGCGAGTTTTTTCCACTTACTTCATCCACGTCTTTTCCTACTGTTTGAACGTAGAACGTACTCAGAGTGGTCATTCAGGTACATGTGTGCGTCATTGTCAATAGAAAGAAATAACTGAAATGTGTGGTTTTACTTGTAGATTTTACTCTTTGGCGTAAAGTGACTTTTTACTTGAGCACCGACACTTTTCACTCTGTGTTGGTGCTCCTTTCTGCCCTCTACATGTCAGGTTCTCTGCGTGATTCAAGATCAAACGTTGCAGCAACAGTGTTTTATTGTGACCTCATTATTTTATTATTTAGTTTTCTGAATGTTTTAAATTAAAGAATTATGGTACAAACCTCATCAGAATAATTAAATGTTTAGATGAAGGATGTTCATTTTCTCGTTAAGCTTTTAGGGTTTAACTATATACACTATTTGTAGGCTTTTTGTCAAAAGCCTACAAATTCACTTGAGAGTGGACCCCAAAACTCAATATCTCATACTGTAGGTATCCTAGAATATATTATAATACTATGGGCTAAAAATAACACAGGGAAGTACTACTAAGTATTAACACTATGGGTAAATATTAATACCACCACCTTTACCCGTAATGTTTCAGTTGGAATATCAAAGTATTATAGGCCTGATATGAAAGTGCAAAGACAAACAAACTTGTGTAACAAATGACCACAGGGTCAACACTAACATCCTGTTAACTCCCGCTGCCAACTATTATTTATTGCTTTCATTTAGTTTTTATGTCTTTCATTTTGTTTATATCAGGATTGTGTCTACATTTGTAAACATGCTCCCGCTGTCTTTTATTTAATCATTTAGACTTTAAGCTAAAATGTCTGTAAGGCACTTTGAATTTTATTATATTTTTGAAATATGAAAGTATGAAATACCTTTTGCTTTTTACCAAGGCAATTAATTCAATAGTAGAAAAAAAATAATCAGTAATTTAATAAAGTGAATCATTGTTTGCTGCCAGTTCTGAATATAAACATTGAAAGACAAAGCTGAATGTGTGCCAGAAAGATGAAAGAGAAACGCACTCAGCATTCACCTCGAGGCTCAAGGCTTCAACCTGACAGCTAATGAAAAGCTGTCTGCTCTGATCTAAATTAAAGTCAATGATGTCTCATCCGCCGTCATCCGGTTTCATTTAATGTCACACAACAGCGGGTTGCTGGCCCAAAATAAACTGCAATACAAAGTAGCCTAAACATAGAAAAACTGGCCTTTATTTAGTCTTTTTACATATGGCTTTAGTTTTTCTTTTATTACAAACTGGTTTTACAAAAGGTTCCGAAGACTTTTGAATCAACCAGAGGTGGAAAATGATAAAGAGGCTGATGACACTGCAACGGTATGTCTACGATCGGAAGCTCCCACATGGCTCTGCCCACAAAGCAGTCACAGATAGTAAACACGGCGAGGAAACACTGCAGCACAACATCGGACACGGGACAAACCAGATGGACGTAGTCCATTGAAATGTTGTAGTCACAGATAAAAAATGCAGAGCACACGATTCCCTCGTCTGTCTCGTATATACGTCGAAAATGTTCACGCCGCGTTGACACGAACATTTGATCGCTCGGCTCTTTTCGACCAACAGCGCTCACGGTACCGTCGCGGCTGACTGAAATGTACGAGCAAAATAAAAGACTGCAAAAGCAAAGGCCAACTCGACATCATGGCCCAGTGACCTGAAGCGTGTCGACAGTTTTCATTCACTACACGGGAAACTCCAGTCGTTAGCCACCACAACATCAAGACTTCTAAACAAGATCAGTATTTTCTACATCTAATTAGTACAATACAGCTCTTTCACTTATTTGATTTCAGTGGAATTAGAAGACAGAATCAAGAGTATCAAATGCATACTTAAAAATCATTAACACCGCGTTACGTTAGATTGCACCGCATCTAGGTTCAGTTTTCAACGATCCACCGGCTGACACTCGACGTGTATAAAAGTTGTTTCATTTCAAGTTTCAAGTCCATCATGAAGACCTTAGTTCAAAGTTCTTGTCACAAAAGGTGTTGCATAAACGGGATATGAAGTCTTTTGCATACAGAGGTCTGCAGAGGGGACTCCGTCTCATGTCTCTCTCCTCGCCTTCTTCTTCTTCGCTGGTTTGGGCGCTTGGCTCTCCTCAGGTTTCTCTGTGGAAACACAAAAAGCCAGAGTGAGAACGAGTGATTCACATGGCCTCTGGCTCAGCTTACATAACAAACTCTTTGCATCATTAACTCTGATTTTCCTGGTTTGGATATAATTTAGAAGGCATGAGGAGCAGCGAGTTGAAGCGAGGTAAATGTACACCATGTGTATGAAACAAGATGGTTGGTAAAATAACACTGAAACTTTAACTCACAACCAAGTAAGTTATATAAAAACTGTTCTCAGTAGGTCGGCCTATGTTCTCAAATTCAGCAGAGCAGACAATTTATACAAGAGACTAAAACAATGGGCATTTACAGGTATCATGGAAATATGCACTATTACTGGAAATGGAGCAAACCATATTTTAAAAAAAAAAGAAGGAAATATAGAAAAGTAATTAGAGAGTCTCGTTTAGGAATCTACAATGAAGAGATTACTACTAAACCCAGTAATGGTTTAGAGAACTCATGATAAATGGGAATTACAACACACACTACTGGGAACCTCTGGAGAATACAGATAGGACTGTTGTTATGGTGGTATGAGAAGATCTGTTGATAGACATCGTTGATAAACACTAAATATTTAGGACATGTAATCTGGCATAAAATCTGTCTCAGAATTCCAGGTTTTGAAGTAAAGAAAAAGGAAGATGTAAAGACTGTTGAAATATACATGTTTATACATTTAAAGTTGCATCAGTACGTAATATCCCAAGTTCCTAATGTCCGTTGTTGCATTCCCCTTTTAAAAAGCTGAACTAATGACTAAAGTGAATAAAGAAGCTAATAAAGAAAGCTGGTTGGGGCATTGAAAAATGACAGACCGGACATCTGCCAGTAATTTTACACAAGCCTCAGTCATTTCGTCCACCTCCATAAATGACTAACGACACAACCTGTCTGACGTATCTAGCCTTAAATAGTGGGCCCCCATTGTTGGGGTATATATATATGGGGTATATATTGGGCTTACTTTGTTGTGTTGGAGCAGAAAGGTTGTTCTGCTTGGCAGTGGGCTCTCCATCAGTTGGCTTCTGTGGCACTTGTGTGACAGGGGGTTTCTGGGATACGTTGTCTTTCACTGGTTGCTCCACTCGCACCTACAAGAAAAATGGAATATTTTCCTTTTTTGTTTAGTCTTTAGATCTCCTCAGCAAGAGATGAATGAACGAGGCCGTTAATCAACGATTTTAAATATGACAGAAAATGTTCTGCAGAAAAATGCTGTGAAGATGATCTGAGGTCAGATTTCGGCACCACTGACCTCGACAGCAGCTGCTTTGACAGGCTGGACAGCAGCAGCATTGACCTGAGCGGCTGGCTGCTTCTTCACCGAGGCTGCGGCCTCCTTCTCTGGCTCCTCCCCCTTCACAGGACACAAGCAAATTTTACACCAAACTGTGCAGCGAATTCAAAATAAACTTAACAAAATGTCAAAGACTGCAATATGAATCAGCTGATCAATAGGGCCAAGAGAAAAAATAACTATCTTTGCATGTGAAACAAAACAAAACAGCTACGAGAGAAGTCTCCCATGTAATAATCAGTGCTTAGGCATTTATTATTATGGGATTATACAGGCTGGATGCACCCGGTAGTATACATGTAGAAGTACACGGCCACAAATCCTTGTACATTGAAAAAAAAAAAAAAAAAAAAAAAAAAAAAAAACATTTCTGCAGTCTGTTATTGTCTCTAGCAGTTACCTGGCCAGCTGTTTCTTCCTCCTCGGCAGCCTTCTTCTTCTTCTTCTTCTTCTTTTTAGTTTTAGCCGCTCCATCAGCAGCAGTCTCTCCCTTGTCCTTCTCATCTTCATCATCGTCCTGACAAAAACACATGGATTAGGCTTACGGAAAACAGGACCACACAAACAGCAAAACAGGCCGACAATGACATTCTGAACAAGAGCTGCAGAATCTCTGCTTCAAATGGGATGAAGGGAGACTTCAGCTCTGAAGAGCACTCATTGTTAAGCCACTGTGTGTCGGGTTTAGGAACTCTCTAGAAAAATGGCCCCGTGGCCGACAGCAATACACACGTCACATTTATGTTAAATATCAAATGAGAAGTTATTTGCACCTGCTCTAATGCTGTGACAACGCTAACTGAAAAGGGTCTTTTAGACCGTATACATCCACAGTCTTAAGTGGTCCAACTGTAAAGTTAACTGTGTGGGTGAGCAGAAGAAAAACTCAGCAGTAGGGCCGCAATATTTTCCATTAATATTATTATATATTACATTTTTAATAAACATATAAAATGATCAAAATACAACAATCAAAATGTTTCGTGCAATGACCGTCTGCCTGAAACTACAGGGGTTTCCTGTACCCACATCACCACTGCTGCTGCTAAATCCTTTGCCTCAACTTAAAAGGGCAGCTCCAGAGATTTGACACAGATTTGAGTGCGTTGACAGGTCTTGAGAAGCACTACTGTATGTGAACTAAGTTGTAGAAAGCCTTGTGTGGCTCCAGAGAAACCTGTGTAAAATGTGATGAATTGCCTCAGGTAGGGCTGAAGACGACAACTTTGAGAATGAAAAAGATCCGGAAGTGTGGAGTTCATTTCACAGACCTCCATGGTTAGATCAGCTCTATTATATTTGATATCTGTGGTAAACTTTTTTTTTTTTTTACTCTATTTTAATCTGAATCCTATTTATATTCGTCAATCTATATTGCCTAGAAGGTTTTTTTGTAAACTGTCTATCATGAATGTGATAAAGTGATGGGAGTGCAATTTCAGATTGATGAGGCGATCTAACTGCAGGATTTGAAAATCTAGCTCTGGCGCCATCTGGTGGTCGTACCAAAAACAGCATTGACAAACAGGAACCCATGTCACTATAAATACATTTATGTTCATTATCATAATAACGATTGAATTTGTTTTATTCAAATCATTCATGATATCAATCACACCAGCTTTTATTATGCTAGGACATGACAAAATGACTGCCGTGTGTAGTATGTTGTGTTGAGTCTCTACTATGAGCATCAGGGCCACAGTCAGGGCAGAGAACCGGGACAGCTGCTCTGGGAACCGCAGCCAGAGGAGTCATTCATTACTAGGTTGCTATTTTTAATGTTTTTAAACTTTCAGGAAAACTACCATAATGCTTAGTTTTACTTACAGCCGCTCCAATCATCAGATCAACCTTGGCGGGCTCAGGAGAGGGCTGCTCCAGTGCAGGAGGGGGCTCAGGAGTGGGCTCTTCATAGTTGCCCCAGGCTTCAGAGGGGGCGTTCCAGTCAGAGCTCGGGTCCACTGACCCTCCACCTGAGAAACACAAACACCATCAGCGAATAGATACAAGTGTGAAGGAGTAGCGCGACTATAAAGCTACAGCAACGTTAGATAGAGAAGCTTTGTTGTCCTTACTGGGTCCAGACCACTCGTCGTCCACTCGGGGCTGACTGAGCCAGGACAGGTTGCTCACAGGCTGAGGCTCTGCAGAGACAAGAACAACATTCAACCTGCCGTCCTCAAGGGAGACTTCGGACAACTGTGCCATCTAGAGGTGTGAGCCAGGATAAACCACCACTCGCCACATCAACGGTTGTTATTGTATACTCACCAGCAGTACCAACAGCCAGTCCAGCTAAAGACACCAGGTTTCGCTCCGTTGGGGCCATCCCCCTGTCAATCACAGTCCATGAGTCTGAAACACAGTCCACAGATGCTATGATGTCAATATTTAACACAATTAACTTATCAAATCAGTGCATCAGTGAGTTAAACTCGGCTATAAGCGTGTAGCTTTTGACATGATGCCAATCAATTCTGATCAATCATGTATTAGTCACTACAGGAACTGGGAGGAAAACCCAGTGTTGCTCTACAAACAGTAAAGTTCTACTTGCTGAAATTCTCACCTGGAGAACACGTACAATTCAATTTAAAAAATTTAAGTTTATCTTTAAAAAAATAGAGCAAAATTAAAATGGACTGCGGTTAACACTACCACGTTTCATCAAACCGTCATACTATTCAAGAATAAAATACAGGATCAGACACAAAGCAGTCCAAACGGTGTCTTTGAATTGTAGATGAAGATCATGGGATATGAGCCCGCCCACTAAATGAGCCTTGAGGTGAAATCGTTTTCTCAACTGTTGGTTCCAAGGCCAAGAATGAACTTTGAACCTCAGATAAGTTATAGTTTTACCGTTTTATAAATCAAGTTCTGACAGTTGTATTACAACAGTGACTAAGAAATAGACTTTTGAGTTGCTTGGTCTTATCTGCTAATACCGTATCCATCTATTAAATGTGACGTTAGGATCGCCACCTCTGGCACTGAAAGCCGATATAGAGCTTATCAGCCGATAACTGCTTCATAGAATGCCATAAAACTTTTACATCAACGCATGTAGGTTTCCGTGGTAAAACCTTTTTACCATCAATCTCGGCTCCCCACAGCGATGCTGGCTCTCTGCTGGTTGTCCAGGGGCCCGTCTTCGGAGCAGGAACCTTTACAACCGCGTCACTCACAGCAGCAGCCACCGCTACCGCCTCACTGCTGTTAACTAACACCAAGAGAGAAACTTCAGACTCCGCCGGAATAAACAAAGGTCAAGTTGGCAACACATCCAATTAAAAAAATCCCAAAAAATCCAATTGAGAGTTCCCAGTGAAGCGTGTGAACTTTTGGTCAATTAAAGATTTTTGTCTTTCTGAACAGATAACCAGTCGATGGGGGAAGCATTCTCTGCTGATAGTTACCTTGAGGTACAACAGCCTCAATCTTCTCCGACTTCACTTTTGCGGATTCTCCTGAGAGGAATATAAAAGGTCAATATATGTCAAGTACACTATCCATGAGAGCCTATTAATGAAGGGAGCACGCACACAACTCAGCACACACACCTCAGGGAAAACTCACTCTGGGAGTCAATTAAATCCAAGTATTTATAGTCCGTCATGTCAAGAGACCAACCAAACGCAACAACAGCTTATACAGAACAACATCTCTCTCCAGGTGCCATATTCAGCTGTTTGCTCAAGATGGCCTGGAGGGTTTGTGATTTGGGTGATAATATACAAGTAAAAAAAAAAAAAACACAACACTATTGCCAACTCATTCCTTGATCCAAAAGAAGCAAATCACAGCCTAAATGAAGCTATACATTTTGAAAGCCACCTTTTTTCTTCTTCTGGCTCCCAGACGTGGGGGCTGCGGAGGCCTTGGGCTCTGGGGGAGCGCTCGCACGCGTGTCCTCTCCTCCAGGACTGGCTGAGCCATCGCTGGAACCCTTATCCTTCTTGCGTTGCTCACGCTTCTCCTTGTTGCTGACCTTGGTCTCCCATGTGCCTGAACAGTACCATTAAGTGCAGCGTGGAATTAGTTGCAAAATACTGAGGGTGTCATTGTGGGATTAGTGAGGAAATATGGTATGGATTAGGCAGGACAAAGGAAGACTGTTCAAATACACACTAAATATTGTTTAGCTGAGGAAAAAAAGGGACTAACCCAGGTCCCATTTTACCACAACATATTGAGTATGAATGTAGAAGATTATTGCTCTGTTCTGCAGTTCTTTAACACTAGTTGACATTATATTTCATCAACTGCTCCACAGCTGACGAGTGTCGGTAGTTAGGTCTCTCTTCTGAGCTCCGGTGGTGCAGACAGCAATGATTAAATATTAAACCAAATTTGATTTGAGGTTTGTGAGAGGCATCATTATACCTGTAATGATGGCTCTCACATCTACGTCGCCATTTTCCCCGTGTCTCCAAAATGTTCGTACCCATGGGTCAGAGTTTCCGTACAGGTGCGCATATTATTTTTATAGATCACAACATTTGCGTGGGAAGTGGCGTACGCCTCTTTCAGACCCCGTTTTGTGCGTACGCAATGGTTATAAATGAGACCCCTGGTCACTGAAAATAGCGGCTCACCTAGAAACAAAAGACAGGCCTCCTCAAAAAGGTGATACAGTGCACAGACATCACTTTGACCGAAAAACCTTATTTATGATGCGATTAATATTTCACCTTCTTCTGGTTCTTTGCCAGCTGCAGTCTTTGTCTCCTTAACAGCCTGTTTGGCCTTCTTCTTGGACTTCTTTAACTAGAAAATAAATAATGGGCATAAAGTAGAAAAGAAAGTTTAAAAAAACCCATCTGGGTTTAAAGAAACAGTGGAGATACTTCACAGCACACATGATTTCACCTCCAGGAACAGCAACTAGGCAAGCGGCCCCATGTGGACTGAACCATAGGCAGTCAATCACATCAGCATGCTCAAGCCACGTCTATTTATAAGTGAAACTACATCCACTGTCCAAGACTCTCTAAATATGTTACATGTCCTTTTTGTGAACACTATTTCCGTCACTTAGTGTATGCACAATTACATCTTCTGAATCCAGCACCTTTAGTACCACAGTTCGTGGTATCCAGAGGGTGGTATTAGATGATAAGGCTGCACCATCTGCTGTTCAAAGGCAGGAGACACCTTCTAGGATTGTGCTGCATCTGCGAGCTAAAAACTGTAACCCAACACTGGCAGCTGGTCTGGTTACATCACTGCAGGGTGACAGTGAGAGAAGGTGGCGTTTTCTCAAGCGACTTACATAAAAGTGGACCCGAAAAATAATGATGTGCAGCGAAGTGCAATTATTAATACAAACACAACCTGGGCAAATCATGATGTTATGGTCACATAACCATGTTGTGATGTGAGTCGTCATAAGTCTTTTACCTCCGTAGCCTTGACTTCTGGTGTTGGCGACTGGTGATGTGGCACTATCTCCTCCGACGCTATGGCGTCTTCCTGTGGTTCAGCAGCAGCTCTCCCATTGGACTGGGCTTTCTGGAATGAGCATGTAAAGAACAAATGTAGAGGGCCATGACAATTTTCAGTTATATTCCTTTCAAACGATCAATATGTAACAACGTCGAAGGCTAGCATAGCCAGGTTAGACAATAGCCTGAAGCTAGCTAGGGTTTGGCCATGACATGAGATTCAACTGTCACTGTGGTGTTAGCTTGACAGCTAGCCATGCTAACGATACGTCTAGTAAGCTAGGAAGGGGGTAGGTTGGTTTCATTTATGCTACGTGCCTTTTCCGTCGTCTTCTTCTTCTTTTTCTTCGGTTCTTCGGATTTGACAGGTTTACCGACACCCCGCTTTACTTCAATGCCGTCGTCCACGACGCTTTCAGCGGGTCGTTTCTTGAAGAGAGCCCGGCAGGTTGAGGCCCACAGAGCGACCATCAGCACCAGCCCGGTGCATGCCGCTAAGAGGATCACCCATGGTGGAATAAGCTCAGGCTTCAGTCCCAAATCCACGCCGAGCTCGGAGCGTAGCAGCCCCAAACCTTTGGACAACAGTTCATTCAGACGAGTTGTAAGCAGCTTGAACTGCTGAGAGGCCGCGTCCTGCCACTGCTCCATTTGTATTGTTTTTCAAACAGATTAGTCACGCTTCGCTTGCCGCTATTAGCCGCGCTAGCCTGCAGTGCTAGCTAAAAATAACGGAACGGCTTCGACATGATGGGTGACAATAAATTTATCCCCTCATCCGCAAGCAACATCGGCCGGACTAGGGAGCCAGCTAGCCAGCTATATCTAACAATAATTAATATCTAATTAAGGCGGTGGTACAAAACTAACTTAGCTTACTAGCCAGCAAGCTAGCTGATATCATCGTAAGATAATACGCCTCCGTTAGCTGACCACCACAATGTGACCGCGAGCGAGCCAGATTCACCTCATATGGCTCCGTTTTGACTGGAGGAGAAGTGTTGCCTTCACTGTCGCTTGTAATGTGCAGTTTCCAGGTTGTAAATCCACGTATCATAGCAGATAGTCCAAAAAGCTGACCTGCAATGTTCGTAGCTGTCATTCTGAAGAAAACATATTTTAAGTGACAGAATTAAGAAGACTATGCAGAATTACAGGTAGTTATTTGGAATAACATTTCTGTATCGTATGTGATATTGGTTATTGACAAGGTGCCATAACCCAATGAATAACACAGCCCAATGTTTCGGGTGCTACAACTATATTCGTATTTTACCAACCTATTTAACTGAGCACACAAAATTCCATTTTTACAAAATCTTATGAAGGCATCACAAACCACCATGACAGCACCAGGATATTGACGTGGCTATGATTTCTACCACGCGAATTGGCCTAAATCCTCAATTCGTCAACATTTCCAGTCCCACTACCAAAAACCATAGATAGTTTTTAGCGTCTTGTCACTCTGTAGCTGCTACTTTCCAGCCATACGACGATTACATTTCTGAAACCTTACTTCGTATGATTTTTCTTTTACATTTTGCTCCATTTACAATATTGCAAATACACAAAAAACTCACTCGCTCAACAAAGCTAGTGCTTAACTGCGCACAAACACGAAAATTGGAATGCTACTACAGTACCCAATAGCCTATGTGGAGCTCGGGTTGAGTAGAGATTAAACAGCCCTCTCCGGTGTGTAGTAAGTCAAAACTTTGTCACAGGTAAGCGGCCTCCTCTCACGCCAATGTAGCAAGAAATCCCTACTACTCTTAACTTAAAGCACTGGGAAATGAAAATCAGGCCAGACAACTTATTTGCATCCAAGTTTATTTTGAAATTCCCTACTCCCCCTGTACAAGAAAAAAAAAAAAAAAAAAAGGACTTTCCACAAAGGCAGCAGTGAACTGTCAGTGATGGTACTTTTCTAGGGAAGGAAAAAAAACAAAAAAAACAAAAAAAACAAAAAAAAACTTATAATCACAGTGTGTCTTCTTTTAAATACTTCTACTGCTGTCATCTTTGGCTGGGTTTCGGCAGACAGCATTCTGTCAAACCACATTCCTGGGAAGCAAAAGTTTAAGCCAATAGAGCAGGGCTGTGGGCTTTACGTTTTACAGTGCCAATGCAGGAATGTTCTGGACTGTATACCTCTTCTTCATTAACACAAAAGAAAAGAACAATAAAAATTGAAATAAAAATAAGTTGTTTGTGTTCACAACACAAACAAATATTACCGCCTGGGGAGATAGTGACAGTATGTCGAATTTCATAAAATTGTATAGACAAAAAATAAATCTACAAAAATGGAGCTAGGTAAATATTACACAACAGTAAACATGTTTTTTTTTTTTCTTTTCCTTTTTTTAAACTTTTATGTCGAACCTCTACACAAAACCAAAGTTCTTGGTCTTAATGGCTAGCAGGAGTTTCTGTTTGAGTATCTGTTTTGAAGAATATAGTGGCACGTAGAGACGTGAGATGCAGGTGTTGGCTGTGGGGAGGTGCTGGTCGTCTGGAGGCCGGATGGTGATGGAGGGCATCGGCTGGAAGCCCTCCTCGCTGGCTGGCAGGGAAGGGCTGGAGGTCCAGAAGTACACCTGAGTACAAGGAACATCGGAAGTCACATTCGCCATTTCCATCAATTGTATTTTATGAAAACCTTTGTAATGTTTGTGTACTGGATTAAGTCGGAAGAAAATGGGCAACGAGAGAAAGAGAAATTATATCATTGAACGCATTCTTGCTCTTTGGTGTTCACTGTCTTGCATATCACTTAATGTCTGACAATGCAATTACAGACTAAAGGCTCGTCTCCACTGGATGTTACTGTGACACTTATGTTGTCCTTAAATGGAAACAGAAAAGGATCATTTAAACAAAGCTGTGGCTCTTTATAAGCCCATGCACGTCACTACAGCTTTGATGTCTAGATCTGTAGGACATGTCGCAGACATGAAAACAAGTTCATATTTATTTGTTTGTTTCAAAATAAAAGCCCTCTAGCATCTTTCTGTAGACAAAATGGCTTCATTTGTTAACACAAGGTTTGCATTCTGAAATATCTGTAGGACAGTGTTGTGGAAAATTCAGTGACTTGCACTGCTCCCTAAATTAATAGAGTACCAAATTTTAATCGTTATTTACATACGAGCACACGCTTTTTAACCTTTTTCTGTCTAAAATAGATGTAAATCACATTTATAATGAAATGAATGACACATTCTGGCCATTATGAAAGGCCAACTCTGTAGAATGAAGGGCTGGCCGCAGCAGCAGCAGCAGCGCTGTCTGTGTGAGGCATCCATCACACGGTGCTCCCTGAGGCAGTGTGAGCCTCATGTAATGTACAAACAACAATTATTACCAATGTTAAACACTGAACTGCTGAGAGCCACAGGGAGTCCCTCTGTTTTGTAGGATAATGATCATGATGAGAACAGACTTACCAGATCTTGCCTCTCAGTCATGCTCATCTTTTCCACTATGGACCAAAACCAGCGTTTAAACTGCAGTAGTTTGTCTGCATTTTCCCCTGTTGGATGAAGTGCAAGTCTTACTTTGTTGCATTGAAAATGTAAAACCGTAAAACTTTAATGTCTGAATGAATGCAGGAAACGGAGGTAAGACAGGAAAATAAATAGAAGCAGATACAAAGAAGAGATTTAGACATAGCAGCTTACCAGATTCATCATTGAAGGAGGTGAAGCTAATGAGCATCTGGACGTTGACTTCTCCACAGCCGTTCACCAGCAGCCTGAAGTCCTCAGCCGTCAGGTCCTCCAGGGCGTTTTTTGGAAGCACATCCAGCAAACCCTTCCTCATTGCCTTCAGACACAGACACACATCATCACTGGGTTGAATACTAATTTTGGAGACTGACAAAACATTTGTCCGTGTTCCAATAAACTGACAAACTTTGAGAAAAGGTTTGGTAGAACGCTAAAAAATGTTTCTTCCTCGTAATGAACTTTGAATTCTCAGAAGTTCAAAGTGTGTTACTCACATGGAGAGGCTGCTCAGCCACCACCAGCATTCTGTGCTCAGCATACTTCCTCACATACTCGTACACGTTGAGAGGAGTTACTGGCATGTTGACCCCACCAGACAGAAGCTCCACCTGAACCGGGGAGAATAAGGCATCAACAAACTCTTCATGAACAACATATTTCAGTATTCATATTCTGCTTTCAGAAGGCTGAAGCTGTATATTTATCATATCAATGTCCTGTGGTGCAAATTATGTGTATAACTGAAACAGAAAAACAGGCCAATCATAATGGTTTCCTCATAGATTGATATTTATATTTTGTATGCGGATGCACTGAATAAGGACAGCTTGTGTGTAGATTTTGGGACATTATGGGTCTGAAAGAAACATTCCAGAAAGAAAGCCAATTGTGACAATTCTCTTCTACAGAAACTGACTGTTCTGACGAAAATTAGCACAGCTTCTAAAAATGAATTATTGTAATTTATGTTGCTAATTTCCAGTAGAACACCTTGTTGCCTGTCCCAGGTAGTGATGTGCTAGGTCAATTTAAAATTCTACTTTTTAAAAGCATTGCCTTTAGTTTCTCACCACTTCCTCCAGCAACATGCTCAGGTCATTGCACCCTCTTATCTTGGTTTAGTGCACTGCTATTTAAACTCTATACAGCATGCCATTGATAGCATTTTAGTGTCGCACTCTGTGCGACACAATGACAGTGTGGTCCTTTACCTGTCCAGCCCCTTCCTCTTTGCAGAGGTCAATGGCGAAGGCAAGGTCCATGGCAGCAAATACTGCATCTGCTTCACCAGCCTGAGAATGGCGGATCAGCTGCCGCAGGCTCTCATACATGACCGGGTCAAAGAATGCAAAGTCATGCCAGTTCACCTGCAGTAACAAAGACAAGTACATTTAGCTACCGCTATTCTGAAAAGGACCAACAGGATGTGGCAGGTTCTAACAGTGGGTGCAAAAATATGTCCTAAAGATATCTCTTACCTTTCTCCCAAGCAGCACTTTGATGACATGTCTGTTCAACGTGATTGGACAGAGCTCATTTTGAAGCAGACACAACCCCAGTATTCTGTAGAGAAAACACAACATTTAACCTATTGCGTCCTACGTCGTTAAAGATGCGACTCCCTGACGTTCTCGTCTGACCGAACTATACCGATTACAAGTCCCTTAATGTTTGACCCATAAAGCGGACAATTCATTACCTGCCAATGTTACGGAAGCAGTTCAACCGGGCTTCTGTGTTCTTGCCGGGCCGAGGGGAGTAGAAGCCTCTTTTGCCCGGCTGGTAGAAGAGAGGAGCGTTGTCGTCCCCATCGTCTGGGTCGTCCAGCTCCATGTCGACCACGCTGCGGGTCGAGCCATGGCGCTTACGGTTTTCCTGCTGCTACAAGCACACAAAATGGAGGAGGCTATTTAGAAGCATGTATTGCACAGAGGCATTTATGTCGATAGGAGAGAAATATTGGTTGGTATGCTAAACCACCTGATTATTTCCAACAGAAATTAAAGGGTTAAACTCTACATGTAACGGGAGTATAGAGTGGAAACAGAGATGTTAAGTTTACTTGTGCTTTCTCTGGAGCCTCCAAAAGACCCAGGTCCAATATGCTGTCGGCACCATTTTCCCTGGAGGAGACAAAAGATCAAAAGTTTATAGTTACTTTATATTTAAAAAAATAAAAATAAAAAAAAAAAATAAAAAAAAAAATAAAAAAAACTTTCCCTATGACATCATTTACCGTCTACTCGCAGAGCACTTTAGAGTCACGTGCCAAGAGAGCAGAACAATGTGTGTCACTACAGTGAACAGATGGTTTTACCTTCCATGTGCAATGAGAAGCTCCATGGCCTCCTCCACCCGGGCTCGAAGAGAATCCTCACTTGCCAGCAGCAGCAGCAGCTGGGCGGGGGACAGCTCCAGCAGCATTCCTGTGATTTTACTGGCAAACGCCTGAGGAGGAAAACACACAGCTGGTGTCAGCG